ATCTCTGATTTAGTCCAGTTATGGAGAAGATCCGTAAGTGAATTATAACTTCACTTGAAGCCGAAGGTGGACGATAGCATCCGACAACGATGATATCAGGACCGTTAAAAAAAAAAATGTAATTGCCAAAAGTTCAAAACATTTTGGTTTGCTGATGGAGAGAATACAAGTGCAGTTTAACTTAGACTTAATATAAACTGCAATTCCACCACCTTTTTTGTGTGGTCCGATCTAAAAACATTATATCCCTCGATGTAGTATATCATGGAGTCCAAGACAGGAGTCCGAGAGAACAATTATTTCGGAGTTTGTTGAATCAGCCCAAATTCTTATTAGGTCATTGTATATACACCACATTTTCCAAACTATAAAGGACTTACAAGTGCAAGTTGTTTAGTATAAGAGCAATACTTTTTTAAGTGAAGATATGGAGTCATTAAACCAGGGATTATCTCTATTTCTCACTCTAAATCTTTTAAAAGGTGCATGTTTATCGCATATAGTCAAAAAAGTGCTTTTAAAATACTCCCAGGCTAAATCAACATCAGGTATCTGTGAGACACTGTATAAATCACTATTATAAATATCTTGCAAAAAAGCTTGCTCGTTAAAATATTTAAATTGACGTTTCAAAATAAAACGAGGTTTACCCTTTGGAATCCTGCAGTTTCTCACACAAACCACAGGAAAATTATCACTAACATCGTTACAAAATACATCCACTGCAGAAAATCTATGAGGAGCATTAGTTAAAATGACATCAAGTAGCGTGGATTTAGTTGGATCTTTATGATTTAAACGTGTGGGTAAATTTATCAATTGCTCCAAACAAAAAGTGTTGCAAATACTTTTGAAAGGATCAGATATATGAGAAAACCAGTCCCAGTTTAAGTCCCCGAGAAAAATAATCTCTGATTTAGTCCAGTTATGAAGAAGATCCGTACGTGAAGTGATAGCTTCACTTGAAGCCGAAGGTGGATGATAGCATCTGACAACGATGATATCAGGACCGTTAAAAAAAAAAATGTAATTGCCAAAAGTTCAAAACATTTTGGTTTGCTGATGGAGAGAATACAAGTGCAGTTTAACTTAGACTTAATATAAACTGCAATTCCACCACCTTTTTTGTGTGGTCCGATCTAAAAACATTATATCCCTCGATGTAGTATATCATGGAGTCCAAGACAAGAGTACGAGAGAACAATTATTTCGGAGTTTGTTGAATCAGCCCAAATTCTTATTAGGTCATTGTATATACACCACATTTTCCAAACTATAAAGGACTTACAAGTGCAAGATGTTTAGTATAAGAGCAATACTTTTTTTTACAAATGTAACACTATATCAGTGTACCAGTGTTTTTGTTTTTTTTGCTTTGTTTAGCATTAAAATGTTGTCTTGTACAGCCCATTTTTGCATGTATGTAACTATAGGTTATGGTTTCCTCTGTTAAATCATTGTGCAATAAAACACTGTCTACATAAAACAACTTCAAATATGACAATGCATGTATTGTCTTTGATTGAAATGGTGTGGATAAATGACATTGAAGCTAACCAGAGCGAAGAAAAATCTATTAAAAAAAGAGATCTCTTTATATGATTTAAACGTGTGGGTAAATTTATCAATTGCTCCAAACAAAAAGTGTTGCAAATACTTTTGAAAGGATCAGATATATGAGAAAACCAGTCCCAGTTTAAGTCCCCGAGAAAAATAATCTCTGATTTAGTCCAGTTATGAAGAAGATCCGTACGTGAAGTGATAGCTTCACTTGAAGCCGAAGGTGGATGATAGCATCTGACAACGATGATATCAGGACCGTTAAAAAAAAAAATGTAATTGCCAAAAGTTCAAAACATTTTGGTTTGCTGATTGGTCTCCTTTAAAGATTTAAAAGAGATCTCAACAACATCACACACTGTGCTCAGACATTTCGCCTAGTCTAAAGACTCTGGTGGTCTCATATTTGTCTCCTCGAATGTTTCAAACAAGATCTCAACAACATTGGACGATAGCATCCGACAACGATGATATCAGGACCGTTAAAAAAAAAATGTAATTGCCAAAAGTTCAAAACATTTTGGTTTGCTGATGGAGAGAATACAAGTGCAGTTTAACTTAGACTTAATATAAACTGCAATTCCACCACCTTTTTTGTGTGGTCCGATCTAAAAACATTATATCCCTCGATGTAGTATATCATGGAGTCCAAGACAAGAGTACGAGAGAACAATTATTTCGGAGTTTGTTGAATCAGCCCAAATTCTTATTAGGTCATTGTATATACACCACATTTTCCAAACTATAAAGGACTTACAAGTGCAAGATGTTTAGTATAAGAGCAATACTTTTTTTTACAAATGTAACACTATATCAGTGTACCAGTGTTTTTGTATGTGCCTTTCAGCAAAGAAAGCTCCAGGGTTACATTTTCTGTAGATCAGTTTTGATTAAGGCATCTGCTACATTACTATTTCCAACAACAAATGATGTGCCTTAAGTACATAAACATTGTCTTATAAAAAGTAACATTATCCTTATTTCTGCATAATTTCTCTCTCAATATAGCCTTTAACTCTGAATGTATGCCCCCCCCCCCCTTTTTTTTTGTGCCTAT